ACCCCGGCCATTTCTGGTGTTGAATCGGCCGCGGCGTCTTCCATCTCCGACTCCTTGGTACGTGTCGTCCCTCGTGTGTCCATCGTTTGGACGTTTTACTTCTGACACCAGATGTAGTAAGTATATGGAGGCTTGACGACAGGATCGGAGGCACACTTATTTATTACACCAACACAGTTATTTACAGGTCACTGGGCTACAGGGATTCCTCGACAGCTAACCCCTCTAACCTATACCAATTCCTCCACTACGGGACTAGGGGAGGCTATCTGTCCCAGCTTGGTTAAGCTGGGATCCCGGCTCCCTGAGTCACCAGACCAGCTTCGTCTGGGCTCTCGGGGCCACGCCACCGGCTTGCCCTGGTCGGCCCTTATAAGGACAGCGAGCCAGGGGAGCTCTGGGGCCTACACTAGCTGGTCTTCCGTCTTCTCTGGTTATAGCTGAGTCCCGACTCCCGAGCCTTTCGGCTCATCACCTTTTATAGGACTTGCCCCCAAGGGGGGGGCCCGTGGGGGATACACATGCGGACGTCGGTGCGAGCGCCACCCTTGTGTACGGCCGTAACCCCGCCCCTTGTGTTTGTTGGCCATCCGTGGCCATGCATAATCACACCTCAACATTCGTAGACATGCGCAATTACACCTCTACACATGAAAAGCAAGATTCCAATGTGCCTGAAGAATGGGTTTTTTGTTTGTTAAATCGTTGAGGACTAAGCGCTGCCGCCGATTCAGAAACGTGGACACGAACGAAGAGAAAATGGAGCGAAACCTAGAAAAGTGCGCAAAGAAGCATACAGAGACGCCCGCTTGGAATTACACTGAGAGAGGGAACGAGGGGATGAGTGGGTCATGGAATAAATACAGATCAGAGGCATCACAATGACGTGATTGCGATTGGGCAGCACGAATGGCGAGGTGGGACGATGGCAGATTTTGACCAAACTGATGAATCCATTTTTTCACCAAACTAGGCGCTAAATATAAACGCGCGATTTTATCCAAAAACGACTAAACACTTTTTGACGCGTAAAAACAGATATATATACAGAAACTATATTTCGCGTGCTAAATTGAGAAAGTATCAGGGAAAAAATGCAAGCTATGTTTTAAAAAGAGTGGACTCATTTTGGCCACAGATTGATGCGCCAAAGCGTCTTTTAATTTTTTTTTTACAAAAACAATAACCCCGCATAATAAACATGTGAATTTAAATCACATATTAACAGCTATTTACATCAAATAACGTGGAGAAAACATCAAATAACAGAGACTATTGCCGAAGAGACTACATGTAACAGGACCCTTTAGTATACGTGAGTCACCAAAGTTATGTAACCCATCAAGTGGTTGTGGCTTCAGAGTTTCACCCCCCCCCCCCTTCCAAACCACAGCTGAAACCGCTGTGGATTTTCGCACGAAATATTGACAAAAACGATCCTTAAACTGGGGGTTTTATGGGGAATTTGCATTCGCTCATGAGTCTCGGACTTCGAACATTCTCGCAACAATTGCGCTCGTTCCTTCTGAGCTGTCGGAAACACGCTCTCGTGGAGCACACCTGTTCAGCTGCCTCATTAGAGCGGTGTTTGCACGCCACACTCTGTGATGAGCCGATACTTTGAACTGCAATAACGTGTTTAAAATATGTAGGCCAGGCTACCAACCTGAGCCATACGAGGTACAGTTGAAACTGGATATAAGCACGACCCTTGGGAGTCTCGCTGCTATGAAGGGGCATTGCATGAAATTTCGCCTGTGATATATTTCTATTAGGGCAATTTTACAGACAGTTTTTAGATTTGCAGTTTTCGTGACTCCAAGGATCCATGCTCTTTGGTTTATTCGGTAAAACCACGTAGGTGAAAATAAAGTAAAAATGAAAACAACTAAATTAAATCACGACGTTTCGGAAGCAGTAGTATTTTTGCTGTGGTTGTCCTATCTGATGACGGAAAATTGTGTTGCTTCCGAAACGTTGTGATTTAATTTAGTTGTTTTCATTTTTATTTTATTTTCACCTACGTGGCTTTACCGAAAAAACAAAGATTACAGACAGCTGTTGAGTTTGTGTTATTTGTGCATGCGTAGTAAAGCCGGCCGTACTTATATCTGAAGTAGTGTACTTGCATCAGAATTTTCTCTTCGCCTTTCTCACCATGCGTGGCTTATATCAGAACCGTGCTGACGTAAAATGTATTTATATCCAGATTCCACTTAACCATATCGCAGGTTAATTGAAATAATCTTGTTTTCCTCTTCTTCTTCTCTGTCACCGATTGGAAAGGAAGATCTCAATGTGTTGGTCTACGAGCTTTCTGGTTAATATTGAAGTCTTTCAGAGAGTCTTAAATATTCCTAAATACACTGGAGGGAGTCGATTGAGTCGGATGATGGATTCACCGATCATATTTGGCTCTACCCTTCCGGGTGATTACATTGTTAATCTCTCACTCCTCTGTTCTGGCACAACGAGACCGACTGCACGGGAGGCTTAGTGAGATAAGTAATACATGAGGATGATCGTGATGATGGGTGCAATGAGTTGGCAGCGTTTGAAGATTTATGAACGCACACCAAGAGTAGGGCTGCCACCCGCCCTGGTTTCCCAGAATCACCCTCGTTGTCAGTTCGATGTCGCGGGAAATGGAAATGTTTCCCTAGTGTCATTAAAAGTCCCAGTTATTGCCAGTTGCATAATAATACACCACTCAAGGCATTGCATGTACATGTAGTTATGTCATCTTCCGGTCCTGAGAGAGATTCTTCTTCTTATTGATATCTCCTCTTTCTGCACGTCAGAGTTGGCAACCCTAAGCATCCGTTTCTATTGCGTGGATTTTCTTGCTGAAGCGCTGTGACTTTCGCAAGTGTGTGGCGTTCGGGGGGGAGTGTACCAAATTGGCCTGTCAGACTGCCCAGCCTTGTTCCTGCATTGCTTGGCAAAGAGATTTTACCCAATTGTCCATCTGGCAGTTCACCAGCATTGGTTCAAGAAAGCCCGACTCCGATTGAGTTTGCTTGTGTGGAGCCAATGCTGTTTTAATAAATAAATAAAATATCTCCCAGAAGGCATTGTGTCTGATAGCACGTGGAGAACACGTACTTTTATATTTGCTTTTTGCATGGAGGGACAGATATGGGAAGGGTGTATGCACGTTGGGCTTCTTTCGCACCGTACGTAGCCAACCGTGCGAATCGGTCTGCTTATTCACTTGGTTCAATGTCGGGTGGAGATCAATCCGGGCTGCATTGGAGGCAGACAAGGCCAACTCGCTGTACTGGCAACATAGAGCGGCAGGGTTTCCTGTACCCTGCAAGTCAGCAACCTCGACACATCGAGGTGTCGCAGATCAAAGGTTGCTTCTTAACAATATTGGGAGTGACGACAGTGTTGTTGGCCGGGGGGGTAGGGGATTAATTAAATTGCTGCACTTAATAAGAGGGCGTGGGACCCGGGGTATTTCACCTGCATTGAGCTGCATAATTCAATTATCCACTCACACAGGGACTCAGTGGAACAGGTGGTTAAGTGGATACTGATTACAATGGGAGAGGGCAGGAGGTAGTGGGCATGGTATGATGTGTTGAGTTATGAAAATCCATTCTTCCACTCATGATAATGTTTCGCATTGTGCCCGTAAGAATAATTGTTTAAATAGGGTTATTTTGGTGGTGGTGGGGGGGGGGGAATTAACAAGAGGTAATAGTAATGTACTCCATATGTGCGGTGTCTGTAACTGGTTGAGGATTATAATGTGATTCACAAGCAAGAGGGATACTGTACCATGTGATACAAGATGTGTAACTACAATATTCTATCACGCAATTGTCACTTGCATTACTTTAAATACCGGCCTTTGTCATCATCATCAACAACAACAATCATGAGCAATCCACTGCTGAATGGAGGTCACCCAAAGAGGAAACCATAACGCACGATTCAGATTCATAATGTCGTGGAGGAATCCGAGGCAGATCCCTAAAGCAGATCATTCGTATGCCACACTTGAAGAAATGACAAAAACGCATGTTTACACATAATTCTTTTAGATTTGAAGTTTTCGTGACTGCAAGGATCCATACTCTTTGGTTTGTTCGGTAAAGTCACGTAGGTAAAAAATTAAATGAATGAAATAAAATGGAATGAAAACATTGTCCCCACCTGAAGAAGGACGCTTGTGTTGTGCCCGAAACGTCGTGATTTAATTTTATTTTAGTTGTTTTCATTCCATTTTATTTCATTTACTTAATTTATTAACTACGTGACTTTACCGAAAAAACCAAAGAGTATGAATCCTTTTGCCTAGCACTCGCGAAAATGACTTGCTTTTTACCATCATTACGATATAGATGTGCTAGAAGCTACAAATCAAGTAGGAAAAAAACGAGCTTAAATTTCTGGAGGAGAGGTTTGACTGAATGTTAATCGATGTAAATTTGGCCAAAATATGGGCATAATTTATTTATCTTGATTAAATGTGTTTATATAAAGTATATATTGACGGAAAATGACTTGGACACAAATGGGTAACAAAAATATAATGAAATGAGAAAAATGTACGATGTGCAAGTTGCCACAAATATGTAAAAATGTTGCGGAATACATGAAAAGACTCTGAATAAATTAAATCATCTTGCCGTGTACCCGAATGTCATATACCCGGCTATCTTAATATTGATATCAGCAAATTGATACAACACGCAAGAAGGAAAATCCCTTCACTTTCCTAATTTATTCCTTGACATCATAAGATGGAAATTGCTGATATCATGAATTCCTGATTAAGTGCCAATTCAACTTGTCAGGGAGACGTCCCAGCTGCCTTTTTTTTATTGCGTTAGAATAAAAGGTAGCAGCAGCAGCTAACACTTACGACAGCTCATTAGTGGAACTCAAAGACATCAGAATGCGCGGCGCCAGACACATCCACTAGATTACCGCTGAGCCGTCTGTTTTCAAGAGACTGAAGCAAGTGGCAGATGCATGTGGATACTTACACTTATTTTTGTAGGCTCTTGACTGAAGCCACCCTGTCAATGTGAACAGAGATTCGTGTCATTTTTCGAACGAACAGATAATGCAACAAGTAATGACTGTTTGGGTAATGCTTTACACCGTTGTTGCCGTACCATGCAATCACACTCAAGATGTATTGAAATTACATTTCTAGTCGATGTATATCGTTGCATTAATGTTTAACCTGTGCGGTGGTTTTCATGTTTTTTTGCCACGGACAATGCAGTGCTTCGTGTTGCGCGTTCTAAAACGGCCGATTAAAAAAGAGAAACCCCACACGAAACAAAAGTAATCTCAAGACTATGCAAATTGGTTTCGTATGAAAACACAAGGCAATCCCAAGAGCGATAGGTATATGGATGTGCCCATATATTAAACACCAGTTCACCTTGAGGGGTGAAAGGTGTTGAGTGTGGGTTTTTGAACAGGACATTTTATTCTCTGGGCTTAAAGGAATACATTTGCTTTCATGCAACCAGCTTAAGAGGTACATTTACACAATCCACCTGGGTTCCATGACATTGCCTCAATTGGCCCATTTGTTAAGAATTTGCCTTCGGCTCACACTGGACATTCAATTAAAACAAGTTCCTTTTAACATACATTTCAAACAGCAACAATTAAAAACCCACAAGGCGAATTAATAACAACCACCTCATACATTCCTGCTTAATAACAAATGCTAACTCGCAGCACGTCTTTGAAAGAACTGAGAGAGATGTGTACACGATGTAATGCTATTTTTGTACAATATAATCAGCCATTTAAAGTATTAGCATGCACTATCGAATTCTAACAACTGGTATTACAGAAGCGTCTGAGTAAATGGTGGTTGAGCACTAGCAAGGATTATGATTAAACTGGGTTTGTAATTACGCTAATTATGGATGTAGCATGTGTGTGTGTGTGCAATGGAAAGTTGCAGCTTCAGCAAATGACTGTATTGCTGAATTAAAACAAACCTTACATCTTGTAAGTATGAATTTTCCTGCGCTCTTGCAACAGTGGAGATTGTATTGTGTATATATGGCTTCCATCTCAAAGGATGACTTGCTTCTGTTTCTACGTCAATTAGCTCTGTTGTACTCCTGTGCATGCATTACGTGTATGATGTATGAAGGAGGTATGTATTGTTAGACAATTTTCTCATACATTTCTATCCATATTAGCAAGTCAAATCAAACTATACTGTCCCTTTAGTATATGTGTGCATGGTATGGGTTGCTAGTATTACTCTATGTAATCGGTACTCGCTAACTATACTTGCCCCAGTAATCTGTATGGTTGGGGTGGTACGAATCAGAATTTAATTCCGATTTCATAATCAATTCTTTTTTACGTTATGGTGAATTTATCGGCCTCAAGTGGCTGGAAGAGGACACGTCATAAAAGACATGGATTGAAAACCCTTGATTATTACACTTTGATAAACATCGTTATTAGGTAATCGATTCATCGTTACCGCCATATCTGCTATGGGCTATGGTTAGTCCTGTCTTACCAACTCTGCCCACGATCCTCCGCCACTTTACACGTGGCCTCTTGCTGCTCCTAGCCTAGCGCAAGCGCCGTTGTGCCGTCCCCACACTTAGTGGTGAATGTGGACTGCTGTTTGTGTGCACACGTGTGTCCATTGAACTATTTGGAGAATGGTGGCACCGCAGTTAGCGCACTGCACTACGAGCCATAGATCCATTTCACGGCCACGGCTAACATCAGTGGCGATTATATAAACCGGTCCTGGGGGGCTGTCCTAGGTCTACTCAGCCTTAAATGAGAAGCACCTGATGCGATGTCGAAGCATCGGTAGTGGCACCTGGCACATCTGCCCACACCAGGTGCTCGCTAAAAACCAAGCACTTGCCCTTACAGTCCCACGCGACTGCACCTTTGTTTGCACAGCCACTTAAGCAGCCAACGAGATAGCTCCGTGCGAGAGCTGTGGGCTAGACACAGTGGGAAGAGGCACGGCCATCACGCCTGCAGACGAGACCCAGCTGAGACGCGTGCCTGTGTGTGAGAGGTCTACCTGAGCTGACGATGTGCGTTAAGTGACACGGGCGCTCGCACGGAGGCGCCTTATTCTCTGCAATAACCAACCCCTGCTCCCAGCCGCCCGTCTCGCTCGTCGGGGATAAGGATTTTTTGTTGTTGTTGTTGTTGGTTTCAAGCAGAGGGAACTCAAAAAAATAATAAGCAATATTCCGGCGTCGCAATAAAACGACACAATATTAAAAACCTCTGCGACTGCCATGGCCCAGAGACGTGTTATCATGAGGTCATAACCTGCGCAAGCGAGAACTCGGAGGCCATCAGTGACTGAGACAATGGCCACGGTAACAAAAACAAAAAAATAAACAGTACCAGCACGTACGAAATGAATACATTTCAAACCGAGCAGCTTGTGTGTGTTTGTCTGCATTGTCCTTGTGTCTGTGAACAAAAACAAAACGCGTTTAATAAGCCAGGATGGGGACATCGCACTTATGCCCAATATTGGGTGGTCCTGCTAATCACGTCTGGTGACCCCTGATGCAGTTGTTTAACAAGATCGACCATTGATGATGCGGCCCAGAAGATATAAAATGATCCAGAGTTCCCTTGCATAAACAAACTCTGCTTGATAATATTGGTTCTGGGAATCCATGAGGTTGATGCACCGAAACATGTTTGTTTTTGACATTATATTCTTGCTCATGGCAATATGTTATAGGAACTGAATTCCAATGTCGCGGTCTGCTAGCCGTGAGAAGGCTTCATAACAAAGTTTGTGATGTTTTGCCGCTCCTCCATTTAAGGACTGCAGTCCTGTACAGTTAGTTTACGACATGGTCCATAGTTTCAGTTGTACGGTCCCAACAGGTTTTACATATCACGCGCTGATGCTGGCTGATGTGTGTCCTCTCTGCCCATGGTGGTGGTTATACCAAACTATACTTCACCTTGTGTGCCATCTCGTATTGTAAAGATATGCAGCAGCTGCGTTAGAATCGATTGTATTTACACCAAAATGTATACTGCAATCCCAATGATAATGAGTAATTATCATCAGGGCTTATAACCGGTAACCATTTTCACAATCTATTACCGTCTTCTTGGTTCTTTCGGTAAAGTCACGTAGAATTAAAATAATAAAATAAAATAAAACATCATAAAATAATTCTCACGACGTTTCGGCCACAACGCAAGCAGCCGTCCTCAGGTGGAGAGCAGGTTTGTCGAGTATTCTACGTGACTTTACCGAAAGAACCAAGACGATGAATCCTTGCAGTCACGAAAGCTTTAAATCGAAATCTATTACCGGTTAATGGATGGCACGCGCTGCGCCACGTGCCGCAACGCGTCAGAGTGGCCCTAAGCACCATTCCCCCGTTGGCTGAACTGCCTCTCGGAGACATGAATTCGAACCAGGGACCATCGGATCGCAGGTCAATTGTTGTTGTTGTTGTTGCAAAAAGCCATTACACCACGGCACCTCCTGTTGGTTGTATCAGCTAAATTCACGGGCGAAAGTTTGGGACACCTTTATTAAGTCGTACATTTATTTGAAGTAGTTTACAATTAAGATTACAAGAATTTTTTTATCTATATATATAAAATCGTTCATGTCTGTCTGTGTGTGTGTGTGTGGACTTTGGCCCATACGCACTTTCATTGGACGGCGGTTGCCCCTGGCAACGGCTAGCCACGCCTTCGCCGCTTTCATTGGACCTGGCAACGGCTAGCCACGCCTTCGCCAAGGGCTGCAGTTTCATTGGACGGCGGTTGCCCCTGCCAACGGCTAGCCACGCCTTCGCCACTTTCATAAGCTCCGTATTTAATTAAATAATAGCCATTACACAGTATTGTTGGAGCGCTAGGGGGGGGGGAAGGAACGCCACCCGTACCCTGCCTCTTCCAAGCCGACAATTTTAGGCGAGGCCGCAGGCTTTGCACGCTACTAGGCCTCGACACCCACCACGCCACTCTGAGGTAAATTCATCAAAGTTTTTCCTACTCTTCACTACACCCCCACCACAATGTGTGCTATTAATATTACTTTTAAACCCAACGCGCCAACAATCGATTACTTTAATGTTCACTGTACAAATATTCATTAAGCTGGGTGAGCGTACTGCCAGTCTATCATGTACACTGTAGCCTGCTTATTAAGCTCGGTGAGCGTACTGCCACTCTATCATGTAGACTCTAGCCTGCTTATGAAGCTGAGTGCGTGTACTGGCAGTCTATAATGTGGACTCTTGCCTGGTTATTATAATCGATTCTTTATATGTTCTTTGTACAAACAGTCATTAAGCTGCTTGAGCGACCCCAGTTCGATTCCAACTCACGCCCACCACCGCTGACGATTATTTGAAACGGACCTGGCCCTCCCCTAGGTCCACTCAGCCTCAAAAGCGTAACTGCTGTCGTGTGTGAACATCGTCACTGGGGAGACAAAGGCGGCGGGGCATCGTGGATCCAAGTCCCGGGCGAAGCCGGGTCATGTGTATGTGTGTTTGTGTTTATGTGTATGTCTGTGTGTCTCTATGTATGTGTGTATGTATGTGTATGTATGTGTTTGTGTGTATGTGTGTGTGTATGTATGTGGGGTTTTTTTATGTCTTTATGTGTATGTCTGCGTGTCTCTATGTATGTGTGTATGTACGTGTGTGCATGTGTTTGTGTGTATGTATGTGTGTGTCTATGTATGTGTGTGTCTATGTATGTGTGTGTATGTGTGTGTATGTATGTGTGTTATGTGTCTGTCTGTGTCTGCATGTATGTGTGTGTATTGTGTATGTGTTTGTGTGCATGTATGTGTGTGTTTGTGTGTATGTGTATGTCTGTGTGTATGTGTTTGTGTGTATGTGTGTGTATGTATGTGTGTGTATGTGTTTGTATGTGTTTGTGTGTTTACGCTCGCATTACACAAATGTGTTGCTGGTCTAAGGCGTTCCTCGCACAGCATTGCCGCTTTATTATTTCAGTCGTTTACTGCCTTACGCACCCTGAAAGTCGTGTGTGTCTGCAGCAAGCGCGTGTATGTGTACCTATGGACGCGCGCGCGTGTGTTGTGTAGGGGGAACGGTAGTGTAGTGCTTAGCGTGCTGTCTGTGTCTGTGTGTGTGTGTGTCTGTCTGTGTCTGTCTGTGTGTGTCTGCGTGTGTCTGTGTGTGTGTCTGTGTGTGTGCGTGTGTGGTGTGTGGGGAGCGGTAGTGTAGTGCTTAGCGTGCTGTCTGTGTGTGTGTGTGTCTGTCTGTGTCTGTCTGTGTGTGTCTGCGTGTGTCTGTGTGTGTGTCTGTGCGTGTGTGGTGTGTGAGGAGCGGTGGGTGTAGTGCTTAACGCTACGCTGCGCTACCAACCCGGCGAACCCAGTTCCATTCCCGCTCACGGCCACCACCGGTGACGATTATTTGAACCTCCCCTAGGTCCACTCAGCCTCAAACGAGTAACTGGTGTGGCGTATTAACATCGGCACTTGGGAGACAAAGGCGGCTGGGCGTGGTAGATCCAAGTCCCGGGCGAAGCCGGGTCATGTGTATGTGTTTATGTGTATGTCTGTGTGTCTGTATGCATGTGTGTTTGTATGTGTGTGTATGTGTTTGTGTGTATGTCTGTGTGTGTATGTATGTCGGTTTTGCCGCCGTGGTGGATCCAAGTCCCGGGCGAAGCCGGGTCATGTGTATGTGTTTATGTGTATGTCTGTGTGTCTGTATGCATGTGTGTATGTATGTGTGTGTATGTGTTTGTGTGTATGTCTGTGTGTGTATGTATGTCGGTTTTGCCGCCGTGGTGGATCAAAGTCCCGGGCGAAGCCGGGTCATGTGTATGTGTGTATGTGTTTATGTGTATGTCTGTGTGTCTGTATGCATGTGTGTATGTATGTGTGTGCATGTGTTTGTGTGTATGTATGTGTGTGTGTATGTATGTGGGTTTTTTTGTATGTGTTTATGTGTATGTCTGCGTGCCTGTATGTATGTGTGTATGTACGTCTGTGGATGTGTTCGTGTGTATGTATGTGTGTGTCTATGTATGTGTGTGTATGTGTTTCTGTGTTTGTATGTGTGTGTATGTATGTGTGTTATGTGTCTGTCTGTGTGTCTGCATGTATGTGTGTGTGTATTGTGTATGTGTTTGTGTGTGTTTGTGTGTTTACGCTCGCATTACACAAATGTATAATGCGGGTCTAAGGCGTTCCTTACACAGCATTGCCGCTTTATTATTTCAGTCGTTTACTGCCGTATGCACCCTGAAAGTCGTGTGTGTCTGCAGCAAGCGCGTGTATGTGTACCTATGGACGCGCGCGCGTGTGTTGTGTAGGGGGAACGGTAGTGTAGTGCTTAGCGTGCTGCCTGTGTGTGTGTGTCTGTGTGTGTGTGTCTGTGTGTGTGTCTGTGTGTGTGTCTGTGTGTGTGCGTGTGTGGTGTGTGGGGAGCGGTAGTGTAGTGGTTAGCGTGCTGTCTGTGTGTGTGTTTCTGTCTGTGTGTGTCTGCGTGTGTCTGTGTGTGTGTCTGTGTGTGTGTCTGTGCGTGTGTGGTGTGTGAGGAGCGGTGGGTGTAGTGCTTAACGCTACGCTGCGCTACCAACCCGGCAAACCCAGTTCGATTCCCGCTCACGGCCACCACCGGTGACGATTATTTGAACCTCCCCTAGGTCGACTCTGCCTCAAACGAGTAACTTAACTACTGTAGCGTATTAACATCGCCACTGGGGAGACAAAGGCGGCCGGCCGTGGTAGATACAAGTCCCGGGCGAAGCCGGGTAGTACAGCTAGTAATAATTATAAGCACCCGCGATCCATATCGGTAGGGGACAAAGCGACCCCTCCTCTCCCCCAAACACGGAAGTCACACTCCATCTCTGGCTAAATGATGATGTTTATGGCTCGACATTTATATATGCGCGCCAAACCGGTAACCGCTTTTTTTTCACCCGTTTTTCATTCGGTAACAGCCGTGCACATTTAGTTTTTATCGCTATACGAACATCCCTCTTAGTATTCACCGAGCGCGTTGTATTAAACATTGCCATCTGCATCGGCAGCTCATCGTAAGTGAATACACTTTTCGTCGACTTAATACTCATTTTAAACTCATTATTTGTATTTCCAAGTTATGCAAAATACTTCAACACGGCAATCCATCTTAATTTAATTGGTTTCTGCGCTAACTTTGATCCAAAGCCAAACCCAACCATCGTGGACAATTCGTACGGTGCAAGCACGAAGCAGAACGGGATTAAGCACCGAGTAAGGATGTCACAGGCACGGGACATGCGCGGACGCGGTCGTCGATATAAACCTACGGGCAAAATATATCGACATCATTGTTTGATCATTTATGCAATAATATACAGAAGTGGTGCAGATGTCTTGTGACCCCCCCCCCCCCCATAATTAATTGACCCCTAATTTTTTGTTCTTTTGCATATTCATTTCAGTTTTAAATTAACTTTACTTAATGCAAAAAAATATTCCGTTTAAGAAAATTGAATGGGGATCACAAGACATCTGGAGCACCCTGTACACATATCAGCGCGTCTGAGTGGCTTGCGCGCGCGTGCAAACGCGTCTCTTTGAAGACCACACACCGATAGGGTCGTTATTGATGGGTCACCTTGAACGCAGTCTGCAGTGTGCACAGGTCACGAGTTAACGCGTAAGGGGGGGGGGGGGGGGACTTGCTACTCTCACATCTCCCTCGGAATTTTTGATTCGCCCAAATTAAATTCGCTTTGTATTTCATTTGAAGGCCGGGTGATGTTCATTACGACTGAGCTACCTTAGAATGGCATCGGAGGTGTGGGGGGGTGACGACAACTTCATAAGAGAGACACCCCCCACCCCCACTGACTCACCACACCAATCACGACCATCAACCCTCCACGTGGAAACACTTTTTGCTCAATTGCCGCTGGCAGCGTTTCAGATACTCAACAGGCTGCTTGTGAAGCCGTCCACTGGCTTGCCGACATCGATGTGCACACACAAACGGGGATTCAGCTTTCACTCGACATTTGTAAGAACGCTGCTAGCTAGCTGGGTTTGATTGCATATTATATTATTGGCGTAAGGCACTGCCACTAGAGTGCAATGATGCACCTTTATCCATAATACTCCTATTTTACCCGACATGCCTATAATACTGTGCACGAGACGTCGCCTGTAATACTACTGGTACGTGTATAAAAACCTGTTGACAGAATCAGAGTCTTTATTAGAATCAGGATCTTTATAAATGCTGGAGGAATCCAATGAGTATAAAGCCATTTTTCACAAATGTCCAGTAAATCCCCTCCTCCTCCCGATGTCAACAGGGTGGATGTGGCATGCCGAACTAATTCCTGGAACAGCACCAGGGACTGTTGCGTCTGAAATGAACCCCTTGCATGTCAAACGGTGCCCGATCCAACTTCCCACCGCCATTCGCGAGAAGGAGTTAAAGGCAAACTTCCGTCTGTGCATGCGTCGCCCGCTCACCTGGAGCTCGTGAACGTCCTCCTCCTCCTCCTCCTGCTGCTGCTGCGTGGACTCCGACACCGGCACGGAGCCCAGGAACCACCACTGGATCTCGAGGGGGGCGAACGCAGGCGCGCCTCCTCCTCGGTAAGAGCAAGTCAGGTCCACGTCTTGGCCCTCCCTGGCGCGCATGTCTCCCGGGATCTGCACGAACCTGCCTGGTGCGCAAGCGTCCCGTCAGCTGTTCTCAGCCACCGTGTGTCTTGTTTGTGGCTGTGTGTGTGTGTGAGAGTGACCCAGTGAGGAGCGGTGCACTGCGCTATGAATCTGACGGGCCCGAGTTCGATTCACGCTCACGGCCAACACCGGTGACGATGATCTGAACCGATCCTGGGACTCTCCTAGGTCGACTTGGCCTCAAACGCGGTGTATAAACATCACCACTAGGTAAATAAAGGCGGTCCAGCGTGAAGCTGGCCACCCACCCCCTCGCTAAGAGCACTTGCCCCAACAGTCTGTCAAGGCTATAGGGTTGATCTTTGTGATTGAGTGACAGTGCCATCTTTTGCACAGCACGAGCTGCTGCTTCTCTCTGCAGTCAACGAGGAAGTTCAACAAGTTCGAATAAAAAACCCGATATCAAACCCCTACAACTTAAATACACTGCTAGGTTTTTATGTCAGTTGTCCGTGATCAATCCGGGTTCTCAAGTGTCATGAATTTATACCCCAGTCATCAAAAACACCGATTGTTTGCGTTGTCTTAACCCAGCTCTGAAGATCTATATTTAAACAAAAAATCTGATTGACTGCCATGCGACACGCATCTGCCATCCGACACGCAGTAGGGCGTGTAATCTAGCAGTGAGTTCAGAATTAGTTCTGTGAGATGCCCTTCCGTGGGCCGCTCCTGATAACCGCGTAATGCACGACAGAAATGTGTCAAAGTTAGCAATGAACACGTCGTCTTTCACGTGAAAAATAACAACAGGGAGAAGGTCCATCAGTCTACGAGTCTTCTCGAGCAGGGTGCTTTGCAACCGGAGTGTGCCGCGCTATTTTATGAATTGCAGGCGAGCAGGGAACCTCTCTGTTCGCAAGCTACGATTAACGGAACTCTCCGTGCCGTTCAGTGGCCGATCCAGCCCCCCCCACCCCTCCTAGCTCCCTGAGTGTGGCCTTTTAAGGAAATGCCGCTCTGTTGGTTGGTGCTTTATTAACGAGACGTTCTGATGTATGCATGCTGGTCAACATAGCACATTCATAAAATCACTGCTGAGAGAGATGATTATGTAACGAAATTTCGAGACTATGAGAGCAATTTGGTGTCCGGAATTAAACTGGTGACTTAGGGTAGCATCCTCATGAGTTCTTCTTACATCAGTGTTTGTCACTCATTTTCACAGGGGGGTGGGGGCAATTTCGCCAATAAGACATCATCAGTGTTAGGGTCGCAACACCATTTGAAACCATTGAGGTATGTCAACACGGCGTGGGGTGTATTCACATTTGTGTATTGCCTGGGGCCGTACTAAAAACCTTGCAATGAAGACCACCGTCTTAAACGCTGGAGGGGGGGGGGTGAGAAGCAACCACTGCGGGAGAGAGCGACACCTTGAAATTGCTACAAGACTCTGTCTTGTTCCGCGCCCCCTGGCGGTGACAGCTAACACTGCCGCCGTTGATTTTACGCGATATACATCAAGCAAGTTAATATGCATCCGAACAGAACACAATATCAAGGAATACTGTGCCATAAATTACTCTTTCTTTCTACGACTTCTTCCCGTAATTTTACTCGTTTTGCTCATTGTACTATATATGAAAAACAGCTGTAGGTTGCAGATACTTTAAGTGGAAACCAACCCCACCACGATATTGCAAATCTTCCTCGATATTGCACATCTGTCCACGTGTATTCTGGCGAATAGTGATGAAGAATTCCATATACAGTAACACTGATCATGCAATAAATTCGTCCCGGAAAACCTGACTAAGTCACTTGACTCGTGTTAAAGAGGACCTTGCAATCGGAATGTTTGGCCAATGAATTTAAACGAGTGTGTTTAGAACGTGGGTAGAAAAACCCAGTGTCCAAATAAAACCAAGCACGTCGCGTATTAGTGGATAACTAGGACAAAAATCCCCCGTATAGCCTCAACAGACTGTTGGGGCAAGTGCTGTTATCGAGCACCTATGAAGAGGGAATGGGTGGCCAACACCACGCCGTCTTTGTTTCCCCAGCGGCGATGTATACACACCGCACCAGCAACTCATTTGAGGCTGAGTAGACCTAGGGGAGGCCCCGCACCGGTTCTGATAATCGTCACCGGTGTTGGCCGTGAGCGGGAATCGAACTTGGGTCGCCGGGTTCGTAGAGTATGCCACCGCTCATGCGCACACGCGCACACACAAAGACTCCGCGCAGATGAATGCAATCATCAACTTGCTGTACTGCCACCTTCCGGGCCACCTCGCAGCGGCTACCCCATAAGTGGCGATCACAACAGGGGCAAGTGCTGTTAGCGAGCACCTATGAAGGCCGGCACGGCACACGAGGGGGGTGGGCGGCCACCACCACCACATGCATTGCGTCTTCACGACTCCCCGGGGCCACTCCGCTCCCCCGTCCCAATCAACAGATGTGTCCATCGCATCCTCGTCCCCCCCCGCCTCCCTCCTTATTTACACGTGAATGGGAACAGCGCTGGAATTATAGACCGCGGGATCTGTTCTTGCGTCCACGACGAGACACAGAAAGAGAGAGAACTCGTGTGCGGTCTTGCCAGTCCTCCGTTGAACAGAGCAGACAGCAGTGGGTTTACGAGACCAGGGTTTGTCAACCTGCGGCTCCGGTACCGCATGTGGCTCTTTAACGACTGATTTGTGACATGTATCCCCATTGCATTGCGGCCCTTTGAAATATTGCGGTATTTTTGTCTGTTTGTTACAGAAATTAAAACAAACAAAAAAAAATGTCTCTTCTCGTTATTTTTGTTGCAAGACCCCTGCACTAGACGGTCCGCTGGGCTGGCTTGCGTGGCCACGATCATCACGCGACCGCACGGACATTGCCTTTGACATGGACCGCGCGCTCGTGGGCACGACGAGGAATTCGGAAGAAACTTGACTTAAAGCTTTCGTGACTGCAGGAATTCATATTCTTGAGTCTTTCGGCGAAGTCACGTAGATATGTTCAAAGAAAAAAAAACTACGACGTTTCGATCGCAACAAAAGCAATCGTCATCAGGATAAAATAAAATAGCGGAAAGCTCCTGATGACGATTGCTTGTGTTGCGATCGAAACGTCGTAGTTTTTTGTTATTTTTGGGTTATTTTTTTTTACGTATCTACGCGACTTTACCGAAAGACCCACGAATACGAATCCGGAAGAGTTCGAGTTTGAAAGCGTGCGTGAATGGGCTCGTCGTGGAAGCACGGGGCTTTGGCGATGAAACCCCGCAGGGCTTGGCTCGCGTGGAATCGCGTGCCGCGCGCTTGCGCACACAGCAACCAAACAACGTTAGAGAACGAACTTTAAACACGCGGATCAAACCGCGGCGCGTTGACGACGCCTGATTGCTCGAGATACGTTCAACAGCTGCTGTTGTTGCTTTGAATGCAACGGGAGCGCAGGCACCCCCCGCAATCTTGTGCGCCCCTTCATGCAGAAGCTGTTCTCCTCTCGTTATGGGTAAACAAACAGCTTCAGAGGCTGCACAGGCTGCAAGTGACGGACCACTACGACGCTCGCTTGGGAATTCTGCGCCAAATGCACAAGAACAGCACACATGATCCCTCCATGAACGTTAAGAGAGGCGCGTTCGTAAGACTTCGATTGTATGTCCACAGACGCTCCGTGTATGTGGATGTCATGCAAGTGATATTTTAATTAAATCAGTTTTAAAATAGATATTTTACGGACGGCATTTTAAAAAAAGAGACTCCCACCGCCGTATCTCCCCCGTAGGGATGCATTCCAAAATATTGATAGCCATTGCGCTTCGATTGGTTTAAGAATCCGAGGAAATTCACCCCCTTCATCTATATAGACCTTACGACAAAAAACATCGTAACATAAGCGTCGTTTGCCGGATCTCAGTCAAGATTGTCGCAACTGGTGCGCACACAGAGCAAGTCCCCGCACCTCCGATTAGCACGGTTGGCGGCGTACGGTGCGAAAGAAGTTCAACATACATGCACACAAGTCGCGACGGGGCGACGTGTGAGAAGAGAGACTGACGAAATCGTCGCGCGTGGAGTTGCGGCGGCGGGGGGGTGTTGGGGTAAAGTTGCGGCGCCGTTTACGGACGTTGCGCACTGATTGCGCAACATCGTCACCGACGAATCGCGCATGCAACAGAGCGGACGAGCACCACCAGCCAGGGAACTTACCCTTTGCCACGGCCAGGATCGCTGCTGCTGCTACCACCACAGTGACGCTCGCAGAGCATCCCGTCCCGAGCATATTTGTGCAGAGAGGGGGTGGGGGGGGGGGGTCTCTCTCTTTCCTCCGTCGAGTCGCGTCTGACTCTCCTCGAACTCGACCACGTTCAAGCGAGAAGAGTGCGCATGGCCACCACGATCTAGACGAGGTCCTGGCTCGTCCGCCTACAGCGCCGAGCCACGCAGTCTCGTGCCACCACCACCACCATCATCATCATCTCGGAGTGCGTCATTGCAAGCAGCTTGCGCCGGTGAGGAATACGAGCACGTGGCGGCGAAGATGTTCGATCTGATCCCTGGTTTCTTCCAGAGGGTCGGAACACCGCTTGACCGTGTGTCTGTCTGTGTGTGTGTTGAGTCGAGTTCTATATTTAAATGTGAACTCAACAGCACAGCGGCGCAACGATAATCAGAATGCGTCTGCTTGTGACGATCGAGCAGTTGATTAGGGCTGGAGGAAGCTCACTAGATTAAGGACTAGAGCAGCAGCGCTAACATAATACTGGGGATGCATTACGCGCCGAGAATTCTTATTCTGGGTTTATTATTATTCTATTTATAGGATCAGCACAAGGGCTGTGTTATTTCTTGCTCGGCAGGATAACACACGGATAAAAAAGAGCCCTCCCAGCACGGCCTTTAACGCATGACCGGAGGCACGTACACACAGCCACCAGTGAATACGGTGGTGGTGGTGGTGGCAGCGGCAACTCGGAATCGTCCGCGTCTCTCTCTCTCTCCCTTCCCTCTCCTCGCTCTCTTCTTACACCGCTCTCTCTCGCTCTCTCTCTCGCTCTTCGTTCGCTCTTGCTGGCTGGAGCTCCCCCTCCCCTCCTCAACTACCCCCCTCCTTCCCCTCTCCCCCCCCCTAAGGCGAGCCGCCCCGCTCATACATAATCAAGGAGTTTGCACTGGTGGATGCAGCTTGGTGAGCACAAAAAGTCGTGGGCGACGCGAGAAGATAAGTCCTGCAGAGAGCGGTATCATCCGTCACGCAGCCACCGCTAATCAAGAAGAGCTCGGGGCGGAATGAATCTACTGAGCCATCGAGCCGGCTCAGATCCCGCTGCTGTTGCTGCCCCCCACCCCCACCCTTCTACTCACCCCCCCCCTCTCTCTCTTTCACTCCGCTTTATCATCTCTGCACCTCCCTCTGCTTTACCTTGCCGCCCAGTTGCCCTGGCCTCCTCACATTGCCTAGTGTATTTGCAAGAAATCCATTACATCTATCAAGCAGGGGGCTTTCGTGGTCAGCTGTAGATTCATGAGGATCTTTGGCTTTGGAATAGTTTAAATGGAGCTCTACGATGCGCGATCTTTACCTTCATCCCGTTCGTCGGGCCTTTATTTATTCATATAACAGCAAGGAGTTGAATGTTTTTTGTTGTTGAAATTTAAGATGAAATTAAATTAATGACATTTTATTAACAAGTCGACGGTGCTTCCGCCAGCCATCTTAAGCCATCACAACACCTGGTTCTGTGACACCGCAGACAGCTGTGAGTGGTGGCGTTTAAACCTGCCGCACTGTGTTGTGCAAAGAGCTATAACTGTGGGATATCCGTTGCACCGTAGGGGCCAATACAGCAACATTTATTGTTGTACTGCACTTCTATGCTGTACAGTGCTACCAAGTCACTGGCATCGCGCGCTTTCGGATGCACTTCTGCGGCCGTCTGAAACGCTCTTCTTCCGATATTAGGAAGCCGCTGGAGTTATGCACTTTTAAATCATCTACATTGGCAACTCATTTCTTGACAACTTATTTTTATGTTGAGCTTGTTTGTCATTCCCCTGCACCTCCGATGAGCATGGTTGGCTACGTACGGTGTGCGAAAGAAGTTCAACGTACAAACATACAAGTCTCTGCCTTCCCCCACCTTTGCCGACCTCGCACTGATGAGCGTGGGGCTCAATGAAGTCAGGTCAAATAAACCACACGACTCACGCAGTGCGAGAGGCCCTCGTCCAGCGGTGGATTGGCGAAACGGGGCTGTACCTCTCCACGTGCGGCAACACCGCACACGCACGTTGCCTGTGTGCTGCTATGTTAGTGCCACTTTGTGGGAAGTTAACGCCGGTTATCAGTGAAGTTTGGTTATTGACTCGTGCTGTGCTGGTCCGTGTCATTGGAACGTTGAATTTCTCACCACTGGCTCAAGACGACCACCACCACCACTGACCACCAGACATCCAACGCTCGTTTGAGTGTGGTGTAACAAAAACAATGTACAGCATAATTCTAGATTTGAAGTTTTCGTGACTGCAAGGGTCCATGCAGACTCTTTGGTTTTTTCGGTAAGTCACGTAGAAAATAAAAATAAATTAAATCACGACGTTTCGGAGGCAACACAAGCTTCCGTCTTCAGGTGGCACCGTCACAGCAAAATACTGTATCAAGTAAACGTCGTGATTTAATTTATTTTTATTTTATTTTTTACCTACGTGACTTTAACGAAAAAACCAAAGAGAATGTACAGCCTCTGTAAATTCACTGCCAGATGAAGGCCTCGCCACACCACATCAGTAACGGTGATTGATTGACCATACTTCACCAAGATAGTCAGATGTTGGTAGGTGAATGTGGCATTGTCCTTTTCAAATTCCTACTCACTGCTGATGCTCGTGATGACTGATGATCGAAATCATGTTTCAAGGGACATTACATCACCATAATAATGTATGTGTGCATTTTACATATATAATACGTACTCACGAGGAGCAATGCTTTGTGGACTGCACTTAGAACGTGACAATAACCTGCGATTTCTGCCCACGGCTAACATCAGTGAAGTTTGATAACCGAACAAGTGCTGGGCATCGCCTCGTTCAATGAGAACCTGATGCGTAAATATCAGCACTGGGGAAACCACACCATCACCGCATGCACAGTGCCTGGACTCGATAGGTGGTCATTAACAGCATTTGACCCTATAGTCTTTGAATTGTGTTCTAGCTCTTGAACGTGTGTGCCTTGTACGCAAACTCTTGCATCTCAAATCATAGCCAGGTAGCTTTGAGGGAAGTGTCTGTGAGTGCACGTGGCTTAAGCATCTCGCGGTGGCGAGATGTTAACTGCTTCGCTTGGTGTGCAGGAAGTCGTGGGTTCGATCCCGACCCTGACGCCTGAAATAATTTGAGTTTGCACGTTCTCACCGTGGTCGAGTGGAATTTTCTACGGATCCTCCGGTTTTTCCCCTCCACATTTATAAACACGTCTTTAGGGTATATGGCTGCTATAAAATTTGCACGTGATAAGCCACTTCGTTGCGCTATCATTTGTGGCCATGTCGCGTCTGAAAATAGCTATATAGCTCAGTGGACCTTACCTGGTAATATAAAAACATATAAAAAGTTAACATGTGGGCTGCAACACTCGCTCTCCGAACGCGAGAATTGGGACAATGTGTAAATGCTGTGCCGCAAGCTTGTGTGACATAAATGCGTTAAGCTTGCACTCGCGAGCCTGAAAGGCAACATTATGTCGTACAGCCATTCATTTGAGAAAACCAAGAAAGTACTTCTTCACAACTGAAGCCACCGCCTCCCTCCACTCCATGGGACACAAACACCAGTCGAGCATCGACGGCTCATGTGCAAAGGTGAACTCAATTTTCGCCTTGCCCAAAAAAGGGGTAGTTATATACAGTGGCTCAAGAGGCACAGCAGGCATTTCCATTATGAGGCCGAGTTAAAATTCTGGCCAGTGTTGACTCGGTCCCATTGTAATAATTCACATTCGTTCAATAAACTGCATCGCGTCGGGGGATGAGGCTGCTCGGCTCCGTGGGAAGTCAACAGCTTCCTGCGATTTCGGAATGTGGAATGTAATTGCACTTTTTCTGAAGCAACAATGGAAATGAGCACTGCTCAAACTCTCATTATAAGAATGGAACACTGACTTTGTGTGTGTCTACCCCCCCCCCCCTACCACCATAACATTATACAGACACGGCACTCTCCACGTTGGGGTTCTAATCCCTTTTGTTAATGTAGAGTTCAGAGCTCCCGACCGCAGATGTGCTTGCATGCCATAACATTTGCAGTCATTGGATAGCGTCCCAATACCACTAACAAGATGAATTACTTATCGGGATATCATCACGCTTCCATCCGTGTATTATCCAGGCACACAATATATTAATCTCTACGGGGTTAATAGAAGACCTTATCTACGCCGTAACGAGATCAATATAGCTCAGGAAGCAACTCCTGCCTATTATCAAGGGTGGACCAAAGACATATTTTGGGGTACCCATTAGCCTCTGAAGCTGTGTGCGATAAGGCGTGATACTACGTCATGTTAAGAAATTGCTCCGTAAAGCTTGATAGGGGAATGCTCCATTTATAACGGTGTGCATTTATTGTTCAGCACACGTTTTATTGGATTCTAATACAAAACCAAAGGGCCTATTGAAATACGCGCAGACAACAAACCATGTTTAGTCTATAATAAGCTTGAATAGTAAAATTTTATTTTACGCTAAATTCATTTACAATACGTGTCGAGGCAGCAGAAATAAGGTCTTGATGGACAGGTCATAAACATTATCGTTAATATAAAAATTAGGGGTATTATTTTTTACGACTCGACATAAATGTTTATAGTGTTGCTCATAATAAGACAGGAATTTTGATGAATAACAAGCAACAATATTGCTAATTAGCTGTTTGTAAAGCATGATGTTGATGGTGCTTACGCAACGTGACTTAATATCTCCCTGTTGTGTGATGCACTCATCTGGCCAGTTATTTACAAACATGCACACATACACACACAAATTAACACAACTAAGTGGCGGTGTTGTCACCACGGCTCTAGTGTCAGGCAAAGTGCGCTTTAAAGACACGTGACATACCGAGAGGCATCGTGACGGGGAACGCGGTCGAGTGTGCAGTCGGTGCAACTGTCAGGGCTCACGGATCAGACGGGGGGGAGGGGCCCAGGTTCTGAGCTATGAAAAGGGGGCAGAGGTGGGGGCAGGTGCTGGTTGTTGCCCCGGGGACCCTGGCAGTGCCGGCTTTGAGGCATAGATAACGTCGGCATTTTGCGTACGGCAGTGGATTGTTGGGACTGGAGGAGTGGCAATGTCCCGTTCTGCATTTGGGTAGCTTTGATAAGCGAGTGTGTGCCCATGGGCTGCATAATTGGCAGCAATCGCTTACCCATTGGTCTTATTACTTGTTGTTAGCTTGCTGCTTCTGCCTCCCAGTTGTTGCTGCACATTTATTCACACACACACACACGCGTCTATCTTTAGCTGCCCAGTAGTGGTCTCTCAACGAGCTTCCTCCACCGAGGCCAATCCTGACCGCCGATATAGTCCTCAGCAGTCCAGTCCGCTCCTCGTCAACCTTGTACCACATTTGCTGTTCTCTTCTCCCAGCATGTGCCGTACCCATTCAGTAGCCCCTTTATGTGGCCAATGAAGCCACTTAGTGTGTGGTAGCTTGTTATGCAGCCAACACTGAGGAGGGATACGCCTCAGTGGTTGAAATCAGTGCTGTCCCCCATCCTAAAAGTCAGAACGACCAAGGCAGCCTATCCAAACCTGCAGGACCTAATCTACCATCTAAACCAGGGGTGGGGAACCTTTTTTTCTGCCAAGGGCCATTTGGATATTCACAACACCATTCGCGGGCCATACAAAATGATCAACTTTAAAAATTGCCTTATATTTGGTTAAACATTTAATTAACTTACCCCTAATGCGATGGCTGGAACTGCTTCTCTTTGGTGAGGCGTGTGATGTTAGCTGGTATTGATGATGTTG